CCTTCGCTCTTTACTTCGAGGACTCATGATGAAGATTTTTTTTTTCGATCAGCTAGCCCCTCTCACGAGCACACAACCTCACGATTTTTTTTTTTAATAGGGGGACGAAAAAAAAGAAGATAAAAAGAAAGGGAATGGGGTAAAAGAAAAACACACGATCAACACCTCTCAATGGAAGCACCAATGATGAGGATCGTGTGTTTCGACTGCCGATAAGCCGCTAACCCGCGCCTTGAATCGCCGATAGTGTTTCTCTAGCCACAACCGCGCCTATTGAAACGAATAAAATTGCAGTAGTATTTTGGTGAAAAGATAAAAGCAAAGTTGGAAGAACAATGTTCTAGATTTCTATTGATTTCTTGAATAATTAAAAATAACATGGGGGAAGGGGCCTTTATATAGGCACAAGATTTGTCTACGTCTAATCTACTTAGGAAACTAAATAAGCAATAAAATATTAAGTATCCTAATTAATCTATATATCATAAAGCATTAAGAAAACTAAATAACTAGGGGATCTTGTGCCTTGACTTGCACTACAAGTAGGGAAGAATAATCTAGAGAATTTTCAGCTCAAAAGACTCCTAAAAGACTCCTTTTCTTGCTGCCCAAGTCGCCCCCGCGCGCTGCTGCCCTGCATGCGCGCGCACGCTACTGCCCTGTGCCCGCGCGCGTTGATACGGAAGTGGTCATCAACCCCGGTGAGTCCGACAATGATGATGGCGATGGTCTTGATATTTGGTTGGAAAACATGTTGGAGGAGCCATCTAGTCCTATTTACCGGCCATCATGTGTACGGGATTGGCCAAAAGGTTGTGGCCCAAAGCTGAAGTCGAAGGTAAGGAAACGGACGACCAAGAGGCAACGCAAGGCAAAGGCTCGAAAAGCAAGTCAGTGTTGATGCAAGCCTTGTGCGAAGAAAAGACGAGCCCAAAGGAAGGAGGCTAAAAGGCGTGGTTTGCGATGGGTTAAAAATGGATGGTGGATACCGGCGGAAGATTGTGTTAGGTTAAAGGGTTGGGATCCATGGCCAGAGCCGACGGGAACGAGCGGTAACAAGGAGGACGACTGTGATCGGCTAATGGGCGAATGGCGCGCATCGGCCCATGATGCGCGCGGTTGGACCAAACAGGATGAACATGGGTACACGGCTATCGGACAGGCCACAGGCCTCGACTGGGATGCGTTGGCGTTCGGCAGCACAAGAAAGGGCGCACGACTAGAATACGAAGAGCGCGCATCGGGT